TTTTTATTTGCTATTTTTATTTGCTATTTTTATTTGCTATTTTTATTGAGTATTTATTTTTCCCAGCTGCAGCAGCCTCGGGAAAAGCACCCAGAGAGCAGGGACAGAGGCCCAGGATGCTGTTTGCAGCAACCCTGTCCCACTGCCAGAGATTCCTAGGACTGCAACCCCTGCCTGGAATGTCCTCAGCACTTCCCCCAGGGATAACAGGGAGAACAACAGCTCCACTGCTGGGATTTCCTCCCCACCCAGCCCTGGGGAAGGTCCTTCCATCTGCCCGGATCCCACTGACCCCACAGACACCAACTGGGGTAAGGAGGGGACTGGCCAAGGCTGGGCTTGGCTTGCAAGAGCTGGGCAGGGATTTTCACCCTCAAAGTGGTTTTCTGGGAGGGGAAATCCCACTGATTTTTCTGGGAGGGGAAATGAAAGTGATTTTTCCTGGAGGAGAAATCAAAGTGATTTTCCTGGGAGGGGAAATCAAACTGATTTTTCAAAGAGGGGAAATCAAACTGATTTTTCTGACAGAGGAAATCAAACTGATTTTTTTCTGGGAGGGGAAATGAAAGTGATTTTCCTGGGGGGTGAAGATTTTCCTGGGAGGGGAAATCCCACTCATTTTTCTGGGAGAGGAAATCAAACTGATTTTTTTCTGGGAGGGAAAATCAAACTGATTTTTCTGTGGGGTGAAATCAAACTGATTTTCCTGGGGGATGAAGATTTTCTGGGAGGGGAAATAAAACTGATTTTTCTGGGGGATGAAATCCCACTGATTTTTCTGGGGGATGAAATCCCACTGATTTTCCTGGGGGAGGAAATCAAAGTGATTTTTCTGGGAGGGGGAATCAAACTGATTTTTCTGGGGGGTGAAGATTTTCCTGGGAGGGGAAATCCCACTGATTTTTCTAGGAGGGGAAACTGATTTTTTCTGGGAGGGGAAATCAAGCGGATTTTCCTGGGAGGTAAAATCAAACTGATTTTTCCAAGAGGGGAAGTCAAACTGATTTTTCCTGGGAGGGAAAATCAAACTGATTTTCCTGGGGGGTGAAGATTTTTCTGAGAGGGGAAATCAAACTGATTTTTCCAAGAGGGAAAATCAAACTGATTTTTCTGTGAGGCGAAATCCCACTGACTTTCTGGGAGGGGAAATCAAACTGATTTTTTCTGGGAGGGGAAATCA